AGGGATAACAATTTGAAAACTGTATTAGAATAAAGCCTAAACAATGCCGTAGTGAAAATGTCCACATGGAAAAAATCCACAAGAAGACAATTTTATTTTAAATTCTCTGTGAAAATCGCTAGATCATGATAATAGAATCATAGTATTATATATGTTTGGTTATTAAAAATAAAATATAATTCCGCTCCGTTATTTTTCTCGGTAAAATATAAATTATTATAATATATTCGCTTAGAACACAAGTAGATTATCTAGTAAAGATAGATATATTATAACAAAATTATAAAATATATTAAATTGATGACATGTTGTGCATAATTATGCTTGACATTGTGAATATTAGGTTTATAAATAATAAAACATTTTTTTTTTCCATATAGTTTTAAATATTTTTTTTTTAAAAAAGGTAAATATTTAATTAATATCATAAACAAAACGTAATATTTTTCAACAGTTGTCTACTGACTAGGAGAGATTTTTAACTTCTATATTATACGTGTATAGATTTAAAAAAAAAGAAAAAGGAATTTCAATAATTAACCCATCGATTTTATTTCATGTATAAAACATAACCTTTTAATTACATTTTTTTATATCTACGTGTATGAAAAATCGATTTTTAAGGTACTCGATACTTCTAAATTTAAATTTATATGGGTGTTAATTATTAAAGTACTTACGGAATCAGTTCAAGCGTTCAACTAATTATTATTTTATCCAATAACTATTGATTATTAACCATAATAATATTGTGTATAACAATAACGTTATTTCCATATATTATTTATTGAATATTAATATTTAGAATATTTGTAACTTATTTAATATTTGATTGGATCAATAAAATATATTTTTATTATAATTTATAAATAAAACTATAATTCGATAATTATCAAGTATTTTGAATATAAAATATTGACATTTTAAGTTTTATTCATTAAATTTGCTAACTAGTAACATGAATTTATTCGAATGTTGATAATGATAGTAAATAATATTGTCGAACTCTCTCTTTTGGCCGTGTTTATGTGTTAATTTTCATATTAAAAATTGGGAGGAAAAGGCGGGATATGTATGCATAATATGCAAAATATTTCGCCCCCATCTCGCCGCTCTTTGGAGCTATTGCCGAGAAACGCCTCTGACGGTAACGAATAGATTTTTAAGCAAGCTATAGAATCAACCTTAATCCTTAATGGCCAAATTATTCCCTTAATAGTTACAATATAAAAAAATATTAATTACTATGTACTAAAAAGTATAAATGTAGATTTTCTTAATTTTGTATACAAAATATAGTTAAAAATACCTATAATTTTATATAAATATATAATGTAAACACTTTAGTGTGCGGCAAAAAAATTTAAAAAAATATGGTCTTTTGTCGTTTTTTAATTGGAGCCATATTTGTGCTAAAAAATGTGGTAGTTACTTATTTAAAATAACGAAATCGTGAAAAAATAGTATTTTTCTTCCCGGTTAATCGTTTTTATATTAAATATCGTTTGAAAATCAAAAAATGACCTATTTACCAAGTAGATAAAATTGATTTTCAGGAAAAGTGCTACACTTTTACATCAGAGTAAGTTTTCTAGGATAAAAGTGGTCTACAGTATAAAAAAATAAAAAAAAACAAAGTACCATAATAAAAATATTAAAAAAAGGACAAAAAAGTCGTTCGATTATTTTGAATTTTCACCACGTCTAGGTAAATCTAATATAAGTATTATTACCAAGTTTCAAGTGTCTACGTGTATTTATAATCGAATTACAGTAAAAAACTCACAAAAATTAAAATTCCTTAAAGCTCAAGAGTACCTAAATGTTTTGGAAATGATACCGTAAGAAAGTAAATTAAAAAGGCAATAAAAAGTATTTTGTGATTTTTTGATTAAATCATTTTTTCTGGTAGAAAACGTCGTCCGCGTTTTTATAAAATAATGAAATCGTGCAATTTTACGTTTTCCTACGTTTTTTCTCACTTAGGAGCTTTTATTTAAAAAATGGCGTCGAAAATCAAAAAAAAATGACTTGTTTAAAGTACAATTTAGACAACTTGAGCTTCCAGAAAAACTGCTACACGTAAAAATCGGTGTAAGTTTTGTATGAAGAAACGTGTCCACAGACGAGAACAAAGAAAGAAACAAAGAGCATTGTAAAACCAATAGTTCCCTCGCTACGTTTGGAATGTTAAAGCGTACAGTCAATTAGCCATAGTAATAATAATCAATTAGCGAATGCGATTACAATTTGTTGTATAATTATTGGTACTTTTCTCTGAATTTTAAAAATTCTAAAAATCACGAATTTATTGAATATAGGCAATTGAAACGTCAAACATATAAATTGTTGACAAAGCTAACACTATTAACTGAACTCCGTTCAGAATCGTTTTTTTTTTTTTGGTGATGGTTAATCATTGTATAAGAATATATATTATATTTCCCCTCTACCTTCCCAAGTTCTCATCTACAATAGTAGCTCACTCATTGTTTGAAGTATATCCGTCTTTTGTTTGTATAATATGTGTAGTTTATACTTTTAAATAATTTTTTTTTAATTGATAAGGAGAGGAATTATAAAAATAAATTGTTGCTTTTTTTGGGACGAGGAAACCTTTCGAGATATTTTGTGGTGTATTACAATTTTTAAACTGCCCCCTCCCTTCTTGAATGAATTTCAGACACGTCATTGATCACTTGCATACGATTTTATTCAAATCCGGGCTTTAGTGATAAACATATACACATATAATATCAACATAAACAGTGAAAAAAAAAAATGAATAATAAAATAGTAATAAAAAAAAGAGCTGATGTTGGGGACAAATGTGTCACTGTGGTAGGTGCGAAGTTGAGAAGGTAGAATACATAAAATTATTTAATTTATATCTGTAAGCAACGGTAAACCATAATAAAGGCCGTAATATTTTCGATTTTTGTCAAAATTTAATATCCAAATTCTTATAAAAAAATAATTCCATTAAACACAATTTTTTTTTTTTTTGATTACTAAGTACGACTTAAAAATTATAATTAAATATAAAATAAATTATAAATTTTCGAGTATTTCTGTTTAGCCTAACAATTTTATCCACAGATTACCAACCAAATAATAATTACGTAAAAAACTTTTAAAATTAAAATATCCAAATAAACAGCTCAAATATTTTGAAATTTTTATCACTCGAGGAAAAGGAAATTCAAGTCTCTACAACTAGTATCAACTGAAATACAACAATCAATCAAAATTGAAAATAATAAAATCAATGTTTTGTGAATTTTCCCGTTCCTGTTAAACAATTTGGGAAATCAAAAACCGTTTTTCTTCATAAACGTCCAGATCCAAAATGCAACAATAAAAGAATCTTGTTGTTTTTCTATTAGAGCATTATTTTTAGCATAATTTTTGCAAAAGTTAAAAACAATGAAATTGGTAACGCCGCGGCATGCCGTAAATATTGGCCGTTTTTCCGATAATTTTTTGTCTCCGGTTTTCCCCAATTATCATGAGAACCCCTCGGAAATTCAAAAAAAATGACCTCCTTAATACATCAACTAGATAAAATCTCCTTTCAGACAAGTTTCTACACTTGGTATCTACATCGGGGCAAGATTTCTGGGAGAAAAGTTGTTCACACATACACACACAACAAATAAAAAAAACAAACACACATCATAGTAAAACCAATAAAAAAAAATAGAGAAATATTCAAAGCGACACTAAACCTTCTATCACGTTAACACCAAAAATGTTGGGTACGGGCAGGGTGGATAGCTGCCCGTACGCTAGAACCGCTACTGCATAAACCACGATAATTGATTCAATACTAAACAATGTATTTTACAATTTGTCGGTAATATACAGTTCGAAATTTATTCACCATAAATTATTTATTTATTTAATCATTAGGTATTTCATTTATTTTTATTGTTGACTATTTTAAAGTACGGCATTTTTTTTTATTGCAAAATAAAAACACCGGGGTAATTCATTTCACGGTGATTGTTGACAATGGCGGCAAATGTTCAATTTATAAATGAATGCTAGGGTAAAATGAGCACGTTGAGCAAAATGACAAAACTGCAATACTAAAAATAGAAAAAAAAAAAAAAAAACGCGTTCGTTCTGTTTAACAAAAACGGTTTAATATTTAAAAAATATTCGCATTATTATCGCGGTCACACATTTCCTCAACGGATATTATAGCGCAGTTGTGATGGTGAAAGTGGGCTGGCGTGGTGTCGTCTCGTCGCAATACACGTATACGTGCAAAGTGAAAAACTGGACAGGGGCGGCGGGCGGCGGCGGCGGCGGCTCCACTCTACGCACATCACCGCCGCCACCACCACCGTCACCACCGCCACTACTACCGCCGTCACCACCGACATCACGGCAAGTATCATTGTCGCGAGCGTACGTGTGGCGGCGGCGGCACTATTGTTATGCGAAAACACCGATTGGCTCCGCGGCACCGTTCGTCGCCGCCGCCGCCGCCGTCGTGTACAGAGTGGATGCGGGCGAGACAGAGATAGGTACCGGTCGCAGTCGGGCGGTACGGGCGAGGTGAAGGGATTACGGTAGTGTCGGCCGGGTGTAGGCGGGCGGGCGACGGGGGGGNGGGGGGGGGGGGGGGGTACGGGGCAGAGCGAAACGCCGCCGCGAGTACACGAGTTATTATAGGCGGGAGAGGGACTGAAATAGGTCGAGTGCGAATAAAGGCTGGGCGGCGGCGGTGTATTGGCGGTGGCGGCCGGCGATCACATCTCGTCGCGGGAGCCAGGTGTACGGCGGCGCGGCGAGCGCGGTGCCGGGCGCAGCAATGACGCACACGCTTGCCGCCGGGTCCGAGATGGTGCTGCGTCCCGGCGGCGAAACGCGGCGGTTATCCCTAGGCACCCGGGCACAGCGCATGACCCAAAAGCTTCCGTGTGAGCGGCCGCCGCCGCCGCCGATATACCCCGTAACGGAACCTTGCACACACAGATCGGCGAACTGTACGCTGTGCGACTGTCGTCCCGACCACCCCCGGTTTCTCGTCAATCGTCGTCGTTTCCATATTTATCGTTTCGTAAATAATAATCGAATAATTAAAAGTACACGTACACACGCACACACACACACACACACACCCACACACACAGACACGCACACACGCACAACAAAACCACCGCCGTCCGTCTACGATACCTAAACAGTATGTCGTATAATACGTATTATTATATCACAACGTAATATCCGCGCACGTCGTAAACGGTTTTTTTTTTTTTTTTTTTTTTTTAAAACTAACTTTTTAAAATTCGGGGTGGGAGGGTCGTCGTGTTCGTCTCGGGGGTTCCGGTGCGGTTGCACAGTTAACGAGATGGTACAACGTGTGATGTGGTGCGCGTGCCGTAGCGTATGATAGGCCGCCGGCTCCGCGAAGGGATCTCGACGCCGCGCGACAACGTGAACGATGGTGGTCGGTGGTCATGTGCACTGCAAATGAGCCATGCTGTCGTCGTCGAACGTGTGGCCGGGTCTCCTGCTGTTGTGCATCACGACCGCGCTGCCGGTCGGCCGAGCTGCCACGTCGTCGAACGTTCACAACAAACGAGGTTTGTGTTCAAAGTATAGCGAACTATTTGTAGGTACTCGATGTCCTCGGGCAACGCGCCTTCCAGTACCCGTTGCGAACTTTACGCGTAGGTAGACCTGTCGCAGACGCGCCGGTACCAGGCGTACCGGCACCGTCGCCGTCACCGCCGTGTTTCCGGTGCGTCGGTCACCGTCCCGCCGTCCTGTCCGAGGGACGTTTTTAATGCCGCGTCATTATCGGCAGCACGTACCGCGTAACGTGACGTCGGCACCGGTGGGATTTACGTCCTCGCTTTCCCGTTTCGCGCGTCGGACGGATCCGTTTAACTTTAGCCCGCGCTCCTGCCACCGTCACACATTGCAATTCCGACTGTGCCGTACATTTTTCAACGCGCGATTTCGATTATAGCGGGCGCTTCGTCCGTTTATCGTTCGTATCATACGACGCGACGATTTGTGATTAGTTTTCCATTCAAATATTGTTTTATCGTACATTGTCAGGTTCCAGACAATTTTTCTGGGGAGGTCTCACTTTTTTGGCATTGTTCATATCGATGTAAAAAGTAACGATATTAACGAGCATTGTACATTTGATTAATGCGTTTTGTTGGCGCTTGTATTTTTCAAGAGGGGCCGAATGAAATTCCGGGGGAGGGTCATTTGGCCCATTCTGAATTGTATCTGGAATCAACACTGGTTAGGTTACAGACACAAACCGAGGGAATATAATAATATTGTTTTAACTTGTTTAGTACAGTGAAAGCGGACTTATCGGAGAAAGAATTTAGAGTCAAAGTTTTATTCCGATGAAATATTGACAAAAAAGTTCTATGTTGAAAAGAAAATCTGTAACAAGTCGGCGATTTCGATTAAAAAAAAAAAAAACCGAATCATACCGAATTATTAATAACCAACATCTATCACGGATAATATACAATATGTTCCAGGGGGAAATGACCAGCCGGCGTCATATGAAAGTATACCAAAAATGACGGAGACATACTCGTTAAAGGTGGGGGGGGGGAGTCTAAGATTTTTGTTTTTAAGATTTTTTTACTTGATTTATTTTGAAAATATACATTTTTGACAAAAAAAAAAAAATTATTTTTTCTATTTAATAAAAATAATTTGTACATTCCTGGTTTAATTTTATTTGTGATTGATAGCGCAATAGAATAGTTTTATAATAAAAAAAAAATAAATAATACGTTTATAGGTTAAAAAGTTTTGAGGATACACGAAAAAAATGCGTGGTAGGTATGGTTTCATTAAAAAAAATAACTTAAATCGCCCAAACTTCAAAAATAAAAATATTAGACCGACCTTCAAAAGGGGTATCTTTATCTTTTTCGATAAAATTTCATACGCCATCGACCGATCACTTCCCCCTCCCCCTCCTCGGAACGCATTGTGTGTAATTCACCGTTGTGTTTCAACACGAAACTCAACTGAAACAGTGACCGTTGATTTTTCAATTTTACGCATCGCTGAAATAATTAAATTCGGTTCTCACACATTCGTAGATGAATTTAAAGTGTTATTATCGTAACATTAATATTCGGCGTAAATGTATCGTTATTTTCAATATAGGAAAACATTCAAATCTAATGTTTTAGGTATTGCTCGCGTTTATCGTACTCACACAATGCAACGAATTAATGTAAAATTAGTCATAAACAATAAAGAAAAAGTTGATTTATTTTAATAATAATAAACAACGATCAATTAATTTTAATTATAATATTTTTAATTTTCACTTGCCTTTTTTTCGAACACAAATTACGTATTAAAAGTTTTAATTAAATCTGTTTTATGCAAATAATAATATTATGACACTAAACAATATATTATTAGGTGTATAATATCTGATAGATATATCAAAATTTAGTAAGTAAATAACGTAATGGTAGTATTATGTAATATTTTGAATTAAATTGCATTTTTTTATTACGTTCTTGATTAATTAAAATATTCAGCTATACAGTGGTCACCGCTTATTATAACCACGGTTAACGTTATTAATCGTTTGCTGTTACCGAAAAGTGAAATTGCGGGCCGGATTTATACTTGTACGTTAAATCATGTCAGTTATTGTAATCAATACGCTACACAATTTTATTAGTTTTTAGGTCATAAAATCAACATTACGTAAACGAGTATTTAACACAAAAACAAAGTAATATTGTCTAATGGTTTATAATGAAGATAAAAATGTCTGTATATCTGAAAAAACTTTTACGTGTTGGTTTTTATGTTTCATTTGTACACTATTGAGACAGTACCGTCAGTGTCGTGCTTGTATGCATCCGTGTCGCGAATGTGTAGAAATGAGTAAAAAAAAAAAAAAAACGAAAGCAAAACGATTTAACAATTAACGAAAAAATGTCATTATTACAACGTTATAGACAGTTTACCAAAAATGGGACAGTGATTATTGTATTATAATAATAATATAATACTATGCAGGGCAGATAACATAATAGCTCTAAAAAAAAAAAAAAAAACACGAAATAATATGTAGGCAATTATGCATTTAAAAACTCTAAAATATGCACTTAAGATAGGTTCTACACATTTGTCTAGCGGTTTAGTTAAAAAATTATATTAATTATTTAAAAAACATCTAAAATTAGAAAAACAATTTCTCATTTATACATGGCCGGTAATGTGGGTCGTAATATATTATAGGCAGTCAATTTTTGGCGTTTTTTTTATTTTTGGGCTTAATTGTATACCTGTCTGTATTTAAAAAATTAGTGTACATAGTGTACATAGTTTATGTACAATAAACAATCAATACTATTTATTTTCAACATATAATTAGCTTGTGTTGAAAACTATTCAAAATCGACTTAAACCCTTTTTCTTTGGGACCAAAGAATTCATTACTCAATTTAAAAACGGCATCGAATCTAAAACGAATCACAGTTCTAATATCTTTTTTTCTACGATAAAAACGTTGGTAATACAAGCGTACAAGAGTATAGTATTTCGCATGCATACATAAATTTAAATTCACTATATATAGCAGTTACCTGGGCTTTAAAAATATTTGATAGTATTATAAGCGCATATAATAAATATCTTTTATCTGAGCCTTTCATCTCGTCTTTTCTTCCGCATATGTATAAATATATATATGGTTTTGCTGTGTCTGCAGGTCTCTACGCAGTCTACACAATATTATAATATTAAACACTTATCCCGTCATATCTTTATCTTGCGTCCCATATACTATTAAAATTTCATATTATCCTTTTCGAACAATAATATGTTTTACTACGTACCTGAGTAATTTATTGTATCGATGGCTTGCGTTGAGTAATGGTACGATAATATTACATAAAAAAAAAAAACTGTTAAATGCGTAATATAATTCGAGTATACTAATATTATGTCTTATTTAAGTCTCTTATCAGTTTCGTATCATTATATGTACATATTTATTCAGCGGTAAGCCAGGATTTTCCGTCGGTAGGGGGTAATTAAAATAAAAATATTTTGCATAATACATAATTATGTAGTACAATCATTTGATCGTGATTATTGTTTAATCCAAATAATAATATTCAAACTATACAAAAACAATAAAAAAAGATTTTTTATATTTTCCATTACATTTGAATTACGTTAGATAATAAAAATAAGTTTTTTACCATTTAAACGTTTTGTCGTAATATCATTTCACTTTTCGTAATCAGGAACAGGCGATGCTTTCTGTAAAATGTTGAGTAATTATTATTTACATAGATTCTGACCGAAGCGAGGAATGTATTGGTTTTACAACGTTGTTTATTGTTATTGTTATTTTTTTCTTATGCTGTGTACAAAATTTCTACCAGAAATATTGCTCTGATTTTCAAGTGTAGCATTTTTTCTGAAATTAAATTTTAGAAATAAGTTTTTTTTTGATTTTTCAAGTAGTTTTCAGAATAATTGTGAAAAATTGGAAAAAACTTAGAAACAACGGGAAAATTGACTAAATTCATGGTTGTATTATTTTCTATTTTGGTTTTTTGTTGTAATTTTGTCCAAAATATTCGTAGATACTTGAAATTTGGACAGATAACTTATACTTGCTTTTTCTATACGTGGTAAATTTTTCAAAGTATTTTAGTAATTTTAATTTTATGAGGTTTTACATAATATTTATTCAGAAGGTGAGTACCTTCAACTCTGTGGATAAAATTGTTAGACAAAACAGAAATGATTGAAAATTTAACAGGAGGTTCATTATTAGTCGTTGATTGTGATAAAAAAAAAAAAAAAAAACTGAATGTAATGAAGAATTTTTTTTATAAAAATTGTATTATCAAATTTTGACGAAAATCGTAAATATTACGGCCTTTCAAAACCTTCGCTTAAAATCATTTTTACATAGCAAAGATTAATCGCTGCGTACAGGTGATATACATTAAATTCCCCTCAATATCCTTCTTTCCCAACTTCTTACTTATAACACCGGCCCACCCATCGTGCGAAGTATGTCCATCTTTTTTAAGATTCGACAGACTTATTAATTAGTTATAACTTTATTATTTAAAATAATATTCAACAATCATTATTTGTCACGTTTTATTTTGTTGAAATATCATTATCAAAATACGGTATCGTAATTAAATGATCTTTGATAAATAGTTCTTAGTGTATTTTTAAAACATTACAATGTTATGTGCAATAAGAGTTTGGAAATTATTAAGTACATGTATGATAGAACGTCCCTTCATCCATGGTTAAGCGCGTAAAATTGTACAGCGTTCCAAAAATGTATATTTAGTTTCACATAATATTTACGGTTTCATTTACTCGCGTATCTACAGTTTGCACATGTGCATCATTCAACTAAATCATAAAGAAATACAGTTTTTAAATTTAAATAAGCTGGTAGGTAAATAATATTATAATGTTACGTGGCTATCGCAAATATATAAAAATTATTTTTTTCCATTATTCCATTAGCTACATAATATTATGTTGGGAAAACAATTTGCTTTCGTTAAAAAAACGAATTAATCACGTGTGGATCGGTCGGAACTATAATACAATAATAATCATCCGTCACGATATTATTGTAGTTCCAAGCGATGTATGCCGTATGGTCTCAACAAAGCGCTCCGGAGTCATTGATCCGACTAACCTACAATATAGGATTTCTAAAATTAGTTCGTACCCGGACATTCAAAACAAATTACAGTAAGATTATAGAGTTTTGAACGTTAGAATTGCCGTTGATAATGGATAATAAGAAAAAATAACCGGAGACGTATTTACATTTTCGGTGCCCCGACGAACCGTTCCTCTCTCAGGCGCCTTTTCGTATAAAGACGATTGTTGTTTTTTTTTTTTTGACAGCGCTGTTACGTACTCCCCCCCCCCCCCCCGCGTGCCACCCGCAGGGGCACGTGCGGGCCGTCTATGGTCATAGTCGCTACACGTGAAACTCACATCTACCCGTCGCAGTAGGCCCGCCGTATTCTAATTTTAATACGCGCGCAAAAATATTAATATATGAACGGGGGCCTAGGTTCTAATATGTCTACATCAAAATAACGTGTATAATTATTGATTTTGGCCATCGCCAGAATCCGGCGGCAGCAGCAGCAGCAGCGAAATATAGATTGCAGCCACTATGGACGACGGGTTGCGGGGGCACGGCATTAGCATACATAACGCCGTCTGCCTGAATCGTCGTCTAATCAGACGGGTTCACCACGATCGAATGCGAGCAATTTCGCGTCACTCTAATTATTTGTTATATGGGCTTGTAATATTTTTTGCGAGTTTTATTTATCGGACTTGTATTTTTTTTG